AACAGATTATTTCGATAAGATTGATTACTCATCGAATAGCATGTGACAATAGGCTCGAACAAACAATTATGAATAATATTAATGATCAGTGCTAAATAGAGAGAAAGAGTGGGAGAGTATGCCCAAAAATAACATGTATGTACTATTGGTAAACCATCTTATATGTGATATCTTAGAAAGCATTAGTCATCGGCATCAAAGAGCAAGATATGAATAGGTAAAATGAAAACGAAGGACGCAAAATTATAATGCATAAATTATCATGTTCTGTATTAGTTAAACAATGTTTTGACTCAATCAGACTATACATTTCATAGTAGATGAAATAAAAAAATGATCATATTTGTTTTTACAAATTCATATCAATGATGATACGATTGGCTATTGTTCAAGTTTAGAAGTCGGATGAAAAGTATTGAAAACAAACTCAATATTGTTATTTACTGCGAAGAATACCTATAATAGAAGACACTTTGCTTAGATGATTCTAATTATGAGATTGATTTAATCTCTATATGACGATAAATCGAATAAATTGGCTTGTGTCTGTTTTTTTTCTCAAATAAAAACATTTAAATAAGAACAAATAAATTTAATTTTTATTTTGGTTCTTCAAAGACATTTATGATTTATTTTCTTTATCATAATATGTAAGAATGATTAGATCTTTATAAAAGTTACGATTTTAATCAAAGTTTCAAGAGCATATCAATGTTTTATAGTTTATTATTGTGCTTTGTTTTTTTTTCTTGAATAAAACTTCGACATTGTACAAAAGTGAAGCAGTTATTATCAATGAAAAACAAAACATGTACATATCAATTTAGTGTCTATACTCACGTGTAGGTAACAGAAGAACGAAAAGAAAAAGAAAGACAAAAGAAAGAAATCAAAAGCATTTCTGTATTTGTCACAATTATACACAATGAACACTAAAGAAAGAGAAGCTATTATAATAATAGGTAGCAAGCAAAATAAAAATCGTATTAATTCGAACAATGGTATGATTTACGTAGGAAGTTTTGTGATAAAAAAAAAGAATAATAAGTGACTGATACATGTGCAAATTTTATCCAATATTAATGAGTGCGAGTGTCATGGCCTTCAGCCATGATATCACACGGTTATATCCTCTGAGTCAGAATTCCTTGAGTCATCAGCACGAGATGCTTGACGCAGTAGTCTTGACTCATGGAGATGTATACATGTGATGGAGTTTCGTGAGAGAGGTGATCTTATGCATGATTATATCAGCGAGAGAGAGAGGAAAAAAGACAAAATGAAAACTCATTGTTTAATAAGGGCAAAATTTTTTGAAAGGATATAAAATAAAATAAATATATGATATTCTGATGTTTTTTTCTTGTAGTATTATCATTATGAGATAGATATTGAACAAATAAATACAATAATAAATAATTTAACTAATTCATCATTCATATCTAAGTTTATATTTAAAATAACTGAAGCAATAATAACAAATCAAAAGTTTAAACAAAATAAGTAAAAATAAAGAAGGAATCATGTCGAATCATAGATATTGCTAAAAAAGAACATGAAAGAAAAAAAAAGAGAAATATATGAATTATACAGATTATATGGAATATAACAATTGGACTTATTATAAGATAGAATGTATATTATTCTATTATTGAAAAAAAAATCGATGATATTTTCACGTTGTTGATTTATTAAAATACACACAAAATCTTTGCAGTTGCATCTCAATGAAAATAGCAAAAATGAATGAAATTATTCAAAAAACAAAAATCTCTAGTTTATTAGATAGAGACTGTTCATTATTCGTTCTTAAAATTTTGTGTTACTTTGATTATGACTAATTTGTCATTGAGTTTCTCATGCTGATAAAATGTATGAACGAAGAATAATAGTTAAAATTGATTTAAGACTATTTTCATTGTTTTGTTAAAATAAAACAAACATTTTTATATCAAACTGTTACACTTCAATTATATTTAGCTTATGATCTTTATGAAAAGATGAAAATGCTTCATGGTATTGACGTATTTTATCGAAATCACTGAATATTGTTTGAGTTTTTGTTTTAATCAAATCAATATAAACATGACATAATTCTAAATGTTGAATAAAGAAAAAACAAATAAAAATAAATTCTTTTCTTTTCAAGAAAAAGAAAAAGAAATGAATTATTTTTCCATTACTGATTTCAATGGTCTAGCTAAATATCGTAATTTCTATAATAATAGGATATTCTTCGTTTTATTTTCTCTTTTATTTGTGTGACTCTGCCAGATCTCGAGTTCAACGATTGATGTTTGTATAATAGCTAATTGTTTTTCAAGATTATCAAGTTTAAATGATATGTTCATAATCTAATTGAATTTTTTCTATATAATTTACAAAAAATTTGCATATGATATACATACATATACAATTATTTCAATCGATTCTTTTAAATAACTAAAAGAATATATGATAGAATATGAGACTTGTTAATTTTTAATATATATTGTTAAATTGTAAATAACATGAATGATAGTTTGCAATATACATATATCTATTTATCGTTTTTTTATTATTCAAAATACAACGAAAAATGTATATATATATAAATTATCATTCATGCTATTTACAAAGTTTTTTATTTTTTTTTTCAATAAGTTTATTTTTATCAAGAAAAATGAAAATTATAATATGTTGTATTTAAAAATTTACAAAGCATTATGTTTATTTGATATTATTTTTCAATTGATGTGCAGTTTTAGTTCGAATTTCATCAAGATAGACTTTAGTCTAATAAGAAATAGTGTTTTTTTTTCTGAGGCATTCAACAAGAAAAGAAAACTCATATATACCCATGTGATAATTCGTTCGAACAGCCATTGTTAGATTGGCACATGATTCAGTTATTTTAGTATTAAAGAAAAAAACCAAATGACTGTATATTAAAAAAGAGAATATGATTTTTATATATATTTCAATAATAATTATATTATACTATATTTGCTTTGTTAAGCATAGTATTTTTTTTCTTTACATTTGTCAACAATTTGAGAATATAAACTAAAATAGTTTAAAAGAAATAAGAGATTTATTTGAGGTGATTTTTTTAAATAAATCAAGTGCATTCCTAACATGCAACATAAAATTCAGTAGTGTAAAATGTGAAATCAATTGAAATTTTCCAGAATTCAAGTTTTAAGTTTGACATGCATGGATGTTGGTATGGGTGTGGGTGTGAGTTTGAAGTAAGATCAGACTCCCACCCACAGTCACATTCCCACACCCATGCCACACCCACTCACGCACAACCATACTCACACCCACACTCATACTCATCTATCAATAATGATGATTTAGTTATGCTGATAATAAGGGCACGACCCTTGCGCTTTGTCTTTTTGTTCAGTGGCATGAGGGCAAAAGGTCACTATATGGCTAGATGTTCTGACCTCACAACCGATGGTAACTGCCTTCTCACTCTGTCGTCTATTTATTCTTTCCGCTCTTGTCTTTGTTTTCGGTTTCATATATAAGCTAGTGTTCTGTATGAACGAGGAGAACTGGAGTGATGAAGTAGTGTTGTAAACATTGTACACCGAAAATAGCAATCACGCTACTCGTCCAGTTTCTGAAGATTGATCAACAATAAAATAGATGCTGCAGTAGTAAGGAAACAATCCATTCTTTATTTTCGTTAGACTAGTGATTCTACACAGAGCTCGCTCTAGTTGTCACACAATAACTGATTAGCGTAACCAGTTATTTCATTGAGAACTGGTCACCAGTTGCAGTTTTTTTCAAAACCACTGATTCCTGTAACAGTTTTATGACCGTTACGTTTCACTCTGTATGACTCTACCTTTTTCTCTGCATTTGTGTTCATACGTTGACCTTGTGACTATTGCTCATTTTTCTATTGCGTGACCGTTGGTTCTTTGTTCCTATTCATTCAGCCATGTTCACTCTTTCTGCTATGTAAGACGATGTAAACGAAGGAAGAGCACGACTAGAGATGTACAGATTTGCAGATGACACGATACACCATCATGCTGACGAGCATAAACACACACTCTCTCAGTTCGTCACAGTCCCTAGCTCTTATTCTTTTTAAAAGAACTGGTCACCAGTTCCCATTCCTCTCAATGTAACTGGATGCTTGACAGACGTTTAATAATTGTCCTTAATTTTTTGTAATCATAATATAACAAGTCATACTTAATTAATCTATGTTATTCTCCTATCTGATCCATGTTCTGAATGCATGTAATTATTCATCAGTTGTTTTTATCAATAATACAGATATTGAGAAATTTCATGCTTTACATTCTACTTCTTTTTCTTTCTATCATAGATCAGTTTAAACAAAGTAGCAGGACGGTTTAGTCCAAACAAAATAAGGTGTGAACAAGGATTAACGGAACGTTCTAAAAAAAATAGCGAACCAACCTTGACAGGGACTGATAACACTTCAGGCTAGTCAACTGGCTTGTCTCGAACGAGTTTTGAATCGCCTAGCAGATGGACGTACTTCACTCTGGCATTCAGACTGTTTAAATTGACATCAGTCTATCGCTAAGTCATGGTCTGCCGGCAAGACACGCGTCAGATATTGAATAGCGTCAGTAGAATGTTCGAATTCATCTTTTCTCTTCTTTTTTTTTATTATGTTTCTGCTCTACGGACTAGACACGACAGTGTTCAAGGCATTTTGTACGATTCCACAAATGATTAAAGGACATTTCTCCTAAAGATGATTAATAATGTCAGCCGTCTTCATTTATTTTTTGCTTGCTTAGAATGCATGTAGAGAGGTGCTAGTTCTATTAACAAGTTAAAATCATTAATACAATTGTTTTTTTTTCAGGAATCATATAGATTTTTGGCAAAATTGCTTGTTTTCCGGCAAAACATTAAATCAAAAGCAATACAAATTTTTATAATTGGGACCAGTACCAAATCGAGACTAAAAAGAAGTGATTTTCCAGATCCTTAACTACTATCTTGGAACAAAATAGATGGAACTTAATATTACTGAACTTCCTGAGCGACCAAGTAATTTCTCTATAATCATATTTCTATTTCTAATCATAAAATAAAATCGTTTTGATTTAGTTATTAATATTACAAGTGATGACACCAAACGAACTAGTACGGGTTATACTCGACATCAATTATTAGGTTCAATTAATATTTGTTTTTATTAGATAAGTTTTATGAAATTTTCTTTCATTTTTTTGTGATAGAATTAGAAAAAGAATTTGCTTTTTCTAAATATTTAACTTGTAAACGACGTATTGAATTGGCTCAATCACTTCTTTTAACTGAACGGTAGGGGTTTTCTTTTCTTGAAATTCAAATGCAATTTAATTTTACTTTTTTTAAATCTATCTTCAGACAAATCAAAATTTGGTTTCAATGTAGGTATGTTTATTTCTTTGCTGTTATCCTTTATGTGTAACTTAAAAAGAAAAATTCTTTTATTGAACAGAAGAATGAAATGGAAACATGACTGTAGAACACTAAATACAAACTTAAACTTACCCAATACATCTCTATCTACGACAATATCATCGTCTAATATTATAAAAAAAGAAGAACAAGATATCGATCTCATTATGATGAATAAATCTATACCAGATGACACTTCTTCATCAATATCATCGAAGCAAGAACATTGTTTAAATTGATGATAAATGACCAAATGATTTGATTGATGTTTTTTTTCTTTTTGTTTTGGTTAGATAGAATTTCTATTTGTAAATAAAATATAGGGTGTGTCATTATAACATAGAAACTTTCTCACTTTCGTCGAAACGAATTTCATTGTTTGGCTATTGATATAGAAAGAGATTTGTTGAAACCACAATGTGTTTATAGCAGCAAAATATCACTTGTCTTCGTTATTCGAGCGGAGGTTCTAACGAATATATATATAATCATCAGTCCTTTCAAGCAACACGAAATTCACAAGAAAAAAAGAAGAGTTCTATATGACATATTGCTCAATATTGAACATACATATTGATATTATTCATTAATTTTATTTTCATATCAGATTGACTTTTATTTTTATAATTAATCGAAACTTTTTCTTTAACATTTAGAAATTAATAAGAATTCATTTCAGATTGGAGTAAATTTTTGTTATACTTTGATAAAGGATATCATGAATGTATAAACAAGAAGTGTTTAAGGTGGGTGGTGGGTGTAGGTTTGATTGGAGAAGAGATCAACATTCACACCCACATCCCATTAATATATATATTGTTCTAATAAAAAATATTATTTTTCTCTAGTAATCTAATTAGCTCTGTTGACCTTTTTCAATCGAAAAAAACCTCGTGTGTGTATATATTTTATTATGAATAGCCTGAAATAATTATATTTTTGTTTTCATGTTTAGAATAAATTTGGAAATGTTTGAGTTTGTTTTTTAAATTATCTCTTCCCATTTATAATTAAAACTTTTGAAAGAAATTAAACTAATTTATTAGGTTCTTCAAAGTATTAACCTTGCATTAGAAGAAATTATTCAACATCGATATTTAATAGATGCACGTTATACCGAAACATATCCAGATTGAGAAGTAATGTGAAGTAAAAATTATATAATTATTTATAAAGAGAACAATATATTTGTTATTCTGGACCAGTTCACTAACACAGTTAAATATATGAACAAAACGTAAATCAGAATGAAATAGTTGAATCAATTGGAAACGTTTAATAGATTCAAATAAACAAAAATTATATCAACTATTTCGGTATATTCTTTTCATTCCTACTATAACTTTAGTTCTTTTTATTCTTAGGAAAAACGTTATCGATCTGAATCTAGCAAAGATAAGGAAAATTATTGAAATACTTATTTGATTTTATTAGATGAAAGCTTCTATTATCAGGAATTAGAAAAGATTCAAAATGAGGACAAGATGAATGTAATGATGACCATTCAATAATACATAATCCTCCTTCATCATCTGATACTACTTCTCGTCGTACAGTGCCTAATACATCAAATACAAATGGCAAAGGCTTTGGTTATTAAAAAAAAACGAGTTAAAAACTTATAAAGTCTATCTTTCTTGTTTGGATCAACTTCGAATATCTAGTTCTACAAGTGTAAAAAACAATAGCAACTTTTGTTTAATGCTGCAGTAAAAAGGAATATTTGAATGACTGAAGGAAAAGATAAAGATGGAATTGGAGGAATAAAGAAATTCTTCTAAACTTTTTTTTCTTATAAATGACAAAATATTATGCACATTATACACATATACATCTTGCAGGAAACACTCAAGTATTTAAGTATTTTATTCGATTTCATTGTAAGTTCAATCGATTTTATATTTTATGTTATTCATATCTGTACATCAATATTTCTGTTTTTTCTGTTATGCTATACATTTCTCTTATCTGAATATGTAAAGAAAAAAAGAACTTGAAAGTTTTTATTCATCATTATAGGTTCGTCCATCTGATGTATTATCATCAAGAAAAATATTGAATATTTGGCTTGCGCCTCTCTTTCTTCTCCTTGCTTGCTAAAATTTTTTGTGAAACACGATCTAAAAGGAGTGTTGAAGTGTATAGAGGTAGAAAACTGGACTCTCACTTCCATAGACCGTGATCGCCATTACTATGGAAACGTCAGAGAGCGTGACAGATACTACCATGACAACGTCACAAACTTCTTCAACAACGCTTGTGCTTTCTCATAGACCGTGATGAACATATTGGAGAAATCAAAGTCTACTGCATGATTAGTATCAAACACAAGTGAGGTTAAAGATAATGTGCTTTGTCATTCTTTTACGCTCGCTTTCACATGTTACAGTTAAGATCTTTTATCATTAATACGAATTAGCAATAGGTAGCAAAAACAAAACTAGGACGTATGCCGCTAAACTCCTCCTATTTATAGTGTTAACAGCTTTTTTCAGAGGATGTGGGTGTAGGTGTCACGGCAAGAACAAACATCACGTGCACAGGCAACCACACACATCCGCACTCCACTCTCTGATTATGAAGAAATAATTTTACCACGTCTCTATCGAATGTTAATTTTAGAGCAACTCGGTTTGTATATTCTGGTCTATGTTGACGAAACATTTATTGATGGAAACCATTTGAAGAGAAACATTATTAATCGTAGGTCACGATTGAATCACTTTATATTTCATATTAATGCGTCCATGCTTGCTCGTAATAAATTGAATTTGCCATCAACAGAAGATATGCAACGAACAATCATTGACTTTTCAATTAATGAAATAATTTCTTACGTTAGTTCTTTTCCAGAGGTAAGACGAAGCCAATGTCATACTTACTCATATCCACCTCTAATGGAATATTCCGGCGATATGACAAATTATTTACCAGATGGATTATTCAAATACGTACGTGTAGTATCATTATATGATGAACATCCCTTTGAACGTGAATTTTTTCTTCAATTTGCTCAATCATTTCTATTTTTTGAAACAATGATATTTGACTAATCATAAATCACAAAACAATCTTATGAATCAAACCATGATAATCAAAATTTATCTGTCATTCAGTACTTCTTTCCTTAATGAATTTAATATTACTAATGCTGATAATGATTATATAGAAGAATTTCTATTTGATACTAAAACGTATTTTAAAAACAATGTAATTCTTTCTAATCAAATATGAATCTTTAGATCAAGCAACATACAATTTCACAAGATATGCTACGCGAATTAATTGTACCAAAATAAATAAATTATATTTAAAAGGTGCAAGAAAAACTTCGAATTCTTTAGAAGAATATTTTCGTGTGCAGAAATATCTTATCCATCTATTATCGAACTACGATCTAAAGAAAGTTTTAAATTTAAGAAAAACAATAAAGAAGAAAATTGTCTTGTCTGCTCTTGTAATAACACAAAATCTATATAGAGATAAAAATAATCATATATGATAAGTAGCAATGTGTGAAATAAACTAATGTTATTGAAGCATAAATATATGTATAGTGCATTGATTTGGAGAATAAATGTTACCAAGTTTTTTTTCAGTGTCAATATTTTCAACAAAGCTCACTAATGTTACTGACAATTGTTTAATCTTACATTTGTAGAAACTAGGTGGTTGTGCTTTGAAAAAGGCATCATGAGATCGGAATTAAGTTCATTGAACTCTCCGTCGTCTGTCTTCAATACACAAGTTCGAAGAGATCGAAACAAATGATGATCTGATGAGTACGGTGCGTGTGCAAAGAACTTCTCATCCCAGCTGTCGAATGTTTTCGGTGAGTTAACTTTTCAACGTTTGGTTCTCCCTAGGCAGAGAAGGCTTTAGAAAAAAAAAAGGCCTTAGTACACAATTTAGAAACTAGTTAAAACACGTTTTCTGATATTCAGCCTGATAAAACGTGTAAATTTTTGAAAATTTATAGGTTAAAACGAGTTCGCATCACTAAATATATTTTAATGCGGCAATATGCCTAAAGAGAAGTTGAATTGTTTTTTTTGTCTTTTGACACTAGTTTATTGCGTTCAAAACTGGCTCATAGTAGCTCGTTTATTTGACAGAATTAAGCTTTTTACTATTAATATAATGTGTCACAAATGTTAAAATCTAGATTGCCAATTGCAAGCGAATATGTCTAGTGATAATATAGTATTTGAATAAATATTGATTTGTCAATCAGAGAT